TCTTGAAATCCAGCAGCCACAGAGGAGGGAAGTGCCTTGAACCAAACATGGTTGAGAACTGTGTTATTTCTCAGGGGCATGACAGTGGAAAAGGAAAAGAAGAGTGCCTTTAAGAATGGCACAAGAGGGGCTGGGAATTTAGCTCAGTGATTCCACTGCCTGCCTCGCAAGCTCAAGGACCCAAGTTCAATCCCCAGTACCAGGAAAAAAAGAATGGCACAAAAAACCTGAGCATGGTGGCTCATGCCTGTAATCCCAGCACTCAGGAGGCTGAGGCAGGAGGATCGCTGTGAGTTCAAGACCAGCCTGGGCCACAGAGTGAGTTCCAGGTCAGTCTCAACTACATAGTGAGACCCTGTCTCAAACAAAACAAAAGTGCTTGTTTGAGCTTCTGAAATTAAGCCTGGGAATAAGGTTCCCAGGTTAAAATATGGCTGTCTTTTGGGTTTCTCTATAAGCTGATAGAGGGGTCATGGAATCTCATTATATCCTGATATCTAAAGGTGTCAAAAGCCTGTAATTTCTAGAAATCTCCTTAGCTGTTTTAGGGTCTTAGGCTGTGGAAAGGAAAGAATTGGTTTAATTTTTTCTTCCCCCAGGCTTTGGGTTCCCTTACATATAATAAGGCCTAAGTATTTTACCTCAAGACTGCAAAGTTGTGTCTTAGACCTAGAAACATTATAACTTCTCTGTTAAAACTCTTCTGAGAAGGATTTGATTTAAGAGCAACATTACGTCTTTCTAATCTAGTCCACAGGTCTGAGTAAGTTCTCTAAAGACCTCAATGTACATATCAGGGTCATCCAAAAACTTTATTAGGTCTCATTTAATCTGTCTTAGATCACTGAGAAAGACACATGAACACAGATAGTCCCATATTTGCCATTACTTCCTGCAAGGGATATTGTCTTTGAGGGGCCTGAACAACTTAGCTGAGGAAGGATATAGCCTCATGGAGGTTTTAGCTATGGCTGACGCAGATACTCCATCCTCAGTACATGGTGGTCAAGGTTTAAAGTTGTCTTAGAAACTTTGTTCTCAGGTTCTAAAGGGCAAGGAGTAACCTCGGGCTTAGCGGTACTGAATGTCTTAAAGGTGAGTTGTCTCTCATTACATTTACCCTTGAACACCAGCAAGAATTACTTCTTTTTTATTTCATTGAGTTTATCGGTACATTTTAGATATACAGTACAGTTACATTCATCATTGCAATCTTGTACCTTTACATGACAGATCTTGGTTCTCATTTTTTCCCCTTATCCCTGCCCTCCCTTCACCCCCTCCACCCTCCGCTATTTACAAAGACTTTGTTTCCATTTTTTCATATTTTTTTCTTTTCCCTTATTTCCTTTCCCCTACCCTTCCCACTTCCCCTACACTGTTAGCCCTTTTCTCCCTATTTCACATTATCAGTTTTACAAGTTGGATCTTACACTTTTAGTGTTTCACACTAGAGAAACTATTCAGTATTTATATGTGTCCTATTTATTTCACTTGAGACTACGGCCTCAATATGTATCCATTTTCCTATGAATGACTCTAGTTCCTCATTCTTTATGGCTGAGTAGTACTCCATTTTATAGAAAATCCATATCTTCTTTATCCTGTCTCCAATTGGTGGGCAATTGGGCTGTTTCCAAGTTTTAGCTATTACAACCTGTGCTTCTATAAACATGGGTGTGCATATATCGCTGTGGTATAATTCCTTTAATTCTTTTGGAAAGATACCCAGCAGAGGGATAAAGCAAGAATTACTTCTTAATGTAAAGAAAATCTCAATTTAAGATGATTTTGATCATTTTCTCTCTTTTACATTATAATTCTAATTGTGAGATAGCATCATAGTACTTTCCTCTGTGTACTTGGCTTTAGGAGGTGGGCACACCACTCATAGGTGTAGAGAAATACTAAATTGCTCCTTACTACATTCCAAAGGAGTGTGAGGTTCAGATATGGAGTTCTTAATCTGAAACAAGAGAAGCAAATATGGTGTCCCGTAAGTCTCTGCTTGTTTCCTGTGCCCCCTGTGGTGTCTCCCAAGGTTTTCTCCACTCCAGAGTAGGTAGCTACCATCTGGAGAGAGACCCAGAAAATAAAACTGGACTGGACTATCTACCCTTTACCAGCACTCAATCTTATCTTCCTCAGGTAACTCATATCCTTATTCCTGTAAGTATTCTCAAAGCACAGATTACAATTGACTTCAGCTATAACAAATCATGTTTAGAGATCTTGCTAGCAAACCAAGAAATTCAAACCACTGCTTTCTAGTTTCCTTGAAAGAGAGAAAGAGGAAAATAGGGCACGTTTCCTGCAAAAGAGATCTCCTGCAGAGATGGTAAGTCAGAGATTCTGCCCTGGGCCCTAGAGTAGAGAAAGCTCTGAGAAATTTCTGTTGTCTATCCAGTCTTTTAGGCAACTTTCATTAGTAGCAAGACAAGGCTACTCCTTTAAGGTCCATTTTAAATTTACTAAATTCATGGTCAATGAACACTTAAGAAAATGTTCAACATAATTAGTCACTAAAGAAATGCAAATCACAACTAAAAAAAAAAAGAAATGCAAATCAGAACTTTGATGAGATACTGATATAGGAGAAATATAACTCCCAACCTGCCAAATGTCAGATGTGCCAAGTTCACATCCCCTAAAATCAAAGAATAGATTGCATAGGATAAAGAAGGACAAGAATGAGTAGGAAGGTTTATTGGGGAATAGGAATAGCTCCTGAGAGACAGGAGGGGCTCCCAAGCAGGTTTCCACCAAGGCCCTTTGTCAAGAGTAATTTATACAGCAAAGTCACAATATGGGTATCACTTGGGTCAAACTATAACCAATAAGATCACAAGTATAGCTGCATATCTAATATTGATTTATTAGGGAAGCAGGGCATGTAGCAAAGTCATATGACTAGCATCAATCTCAGTTTATCTCTGACCCTTAAAGCAGGAATGAGTTTGGGAAGGGATGGATTCAGATGCCCTGGTCACCCACCTGGGTGTCTGAATCACAACTGGACTTAATGGACTGGGTGGTACTAATTACAGTATAGTCTCACAAAACAATTACAAACCAGAGCTGGGGATTCAGCTCAGTGGTTCTGCCGCCTGCTTCGGAAGCTCAAGGTCCTGAGTTTGATCTCTGGTACCAAAAACTAATTTTTAAAAAAACAGAGAGAAGCTTTAGGGTCGGGGATTTACCTCAGTGGTGCAGCTGGCTGCCTCATAAGTGCAAGGTTACAAGTTTGAGTCCTGGTACCAAAAAATGAAAAAAAAAGATAAAAGCAACTAACCAAAGAGGAAAGAGCAGTGCTGATCCCTGAATCTCACCCTGTGCTCTCCTCTACACCAGCCCCTACCATCCAGATATTGTCTCCCATGATGCATCTCCCTGGGTCTGGGCTTTCAGGCTGACACAATGCTCTTAGACCTGCAGAGCTGTGACGTAAGTAAAACTTCTTTTCTTTATAAATACCCAGCTTTAGGCATTTTGTTATTGCAACAGAAAATAAACTAATATAGTGAGGGAAGGAGATTATAGGGAGTTTTGTTTAATAGGTACAGTGCTTTGGTTTGGGAAGGTAAAAAAGTTCTGAAGATGAATAGTGGTGAGCATTGCACAACAATGTAAATGTGCTTCATGCCATTGAATTAGACACTTACAATGGTACATTCCCTCTTGTGTATATTTTACCACAATTCTTAAAACATCTATCTCTGCCAGGTGTGTGGTGGCACACACCTGTAATCACAGCACTGGAGAAGCTGAGGCAGGAGGATCACCGCAAGTTTGAGGCCAGTCTGGGCTACATAATGATTCTGTCTAAAAAAAAACCTACTTTAATGAATTTTTAAAATTTAGGGCCAGGAGGGGCCAGGGATTTAGCTCAGTGGTTCTGCTGCCTGCCTCATAAGTGCACGGTCCTGAGTTTGATCACTGGTACCAAAAAACAAAAAACAAAACAAAAACAAAGAATGATCATAGCAGCACTATTTACAATAACCAAAAGGTAGAAATCACTCAGATGTCTATCTGTAGTGAATGGGCAAACTGACACAATGGAATATTGTTCAGACATAAGAAAGACTGAAGTACTGATGCAGGGTACAACTTGGATGGCCTTCAAAAGCATTGTTGCCAGGCGTGGTGGCGCATGCCTGTAAATCCCAACACTCAGGTGTCTGAGCTAGGAGGATTACCTTGAGTTTGAGGCCAACCTGGGTTACATAATAAATTTGAGGCCATCCTGTACTACACAGCAAGACCATCTCAAAAAAAAAAAAAAAAAGGTTAAATGAAAAAAGCAGACATAAAATTTCACATTTTGTATAACTTCTTTTATGTGAAACATTACAAATAGCCAAATCTCTAGAGGCTGAAAGCATAGTAATATTTGTTAAAGGATAACACTGGGGGTAGGGAATGAGTAATAATTGCTTAACATATGTTTTAAGTGTGCTTTCGGAGTGATGAAAACTTTTGTTTGTTTTTTTGAGATAAAATCTTACCATGTAGTCCAGGCTGGCCTTGAAAACTCACTATGTAGCCCAGGTTGGTTGCAAATTTATGGCAATACTCTTGCCTCAGCCTCTCAAGTGCTGGGATTACAGGTGTGCACCATCATGCCTGCCCTGATGAAAACTCTTAAAGCTGGAAAGAGGTAATGGTTACACGACATTGTAGATGTACTAAATGCCACTGCATTGTACGCTTTAAATGTTTTTGTAAAAGTGCTGGGGACTGAAACCAGGGCCTCACACATGCTGAATCTACCACTGAGCTATATCTCCCAAGAATGGTTTATTTTGTTATATGAATTTCACCTGAGTTAAAAAAAGAAAGAAAAAGAGAAAAAGTATCAATTTATGGTCAGGCATGTTGGCTGATGACTGTAATCCCAACACTCTGGAAGGCTGAGGCAGGAGGGTCACAATTTAGACCCCAGCCTGGGTAATTTAGATTCTGTTCCAAAATAAAATTTTAAAAAAATTGAAGGGCTGGGGATGTAGTTCAGTGCAAAGGGCCTTGGTTCCATTTCCCCTATTGCAAAAGCAAAGGATAAGAAAGAACTCCCATGACAGCTCTTGGTTTAGCTCTCATGGAGTGTTGTTGGGAGCTGTGGTCGGTACTCCAGAGACCTGGCGGGAAGTAGCTAAGAAGACAAAAAGCCAAGCCTGAGAAGGATACATGGGAATTCTCTCTACCATTTTTTGCAACTTCTTCTGAGCCTACAGTGATTTCAAAACAAGTTTAAAGAAAAAAAATCCAGCACATGTCAGTTTGGCTGCTCCATGCCTCCCCACTGGGAGGTGACTCAGAATGACCACCCCTTTGTAGTGCTGGGATTCATCCCTGGGAGAGACCCGGGTTGCTCAGGGGAGGGCTGGCCTCTGTGCTGAAGGTTAGCCAAGATCTGGAACCAGCTAATTTCATAGTTTAATTTCACTTTCACTTTTGCTTTCCCTCGAAATGACTGAAGAGCCAGGAAAACGCAAGCGGCGTCTTTGGCTCCCTGGCTTAGGTGCCTGTCCTACCAGCTGCAAGCACTCTGTTTCTCCACAGAGTTGGAGCTGTGAGCACTGCAGCCTGCTGCCTTGCCCTAGGCCCAGAGGATGGCCGTCCTGGAGCCTTCTGAGTGGCTGGACAGGGAGCTGTACTCCAGACAGCTGTGAGCCTTGCAATGGGGGAGGAGCGGGAGACCTTCAGATTTCTGGTCTTAACTGCTTGCCCTTCTGCTGTCCATCCACAGGCCTGTGCTGGGCGCACCTGCCATGCAGAGAATTAGGAAAGCCAAAGTACTGCTGTCGGGCCTGCAGGGCCTGGGGGCCGAGGTGGCCAAGAACCTGGTCCTGATGGGTGTGGGCAGCCTCACTTTACACGATCCCCATCCCACCTGCTGGTCTGACCTGGCTGCTCAGGTGAGAGTCCTGGATGGCTTTTAGTTCTCAGATCAGAGTGGGGTCAGGACCTGGGGAGTCTCTGCTCACGCTGCACTGCAACTTTCCTCAGGTTTTTCTCTCAGAGAGGGACTTGGGAAAGAGCAGGGCTGAGGCCTCTCAAGAACACTTGGCTCAACTCAGTGAAGCTGTCCAGGTCCTTGTCCACCCCAGCGACATCACGGAGGACCTACTGCTGAAATTCCAGGTGCTTTCCCTGGACCCACCTTCCAGGCCAGCCTCACCCTCCACTTCAGCCCTCAGCAGCAGGGAGAGCTGGGCAGTGACTCTGGACCTGCTGATCTCAGTGTTTTCCTAAGGTGGTGGTGCTGACTGCTTCCAAGCTGGAGGAGCAGCTGATGGTGGGTACCTTATGCCACAAACATGGAATCTGCTTTCTAGTGGCTGACACCAGGGGCCTCGTCGGGTGAGTAAGACTGCCTGCCCATCCAATTCTGTTGCCCAGTTCTACCTCTCTGGTTCCTCCACTCTAGCCTGCAGATCTGCTATTGTAACCCGCACCTTCAAACTCTAATTTCCAGGTCTGTCTCTCTCTGCTTTCTCTTTCAATTTGAGCTTCTGGGTCTGTCCTAGCATCCCCTATCCTTCATCTCAACCTATAAACCACTTCCATGATCCCTGTCACTTCATAATAGGCAATTGTTCTGTGATTTTGGTGAGGAGTTCATAGTGCATGACCCTACAGAGGCAGAACCCCTGACAGCTGCCATCCAGCACATCACCCAGGTAGGTGCAAGGATATAGGCATTTACCTGGTGGCCAGGGAAGGGTTTTCTGGGCCTATGGAAGGCAAGTATGGGGACCCCTGAGCCAATCCACCTCTCACCCAGGGCTCCCCTGGCATCCTCACTCTGAGAAGAGAAGACAAGGAGCATTCCTTCTGTGATGGGGACTTGGTGACTTTCTCAGGCATCAAGGGCATGGTTGAGCTCAATGGCTGTTCTCCTCGGCCCATCTGTGTGCAGAGTAAGCCAACCCCCCTCTAGCCCTGTGGGGTGCACACACCTGGTCCATGGAGCTAGGTTCCCCATCGCCTTCCCCAGGGTGCACATATTATGCAATGCAGGATCGAGGTGATAACCACTCAGGTTCAGAGATTCTAACCTCTAGGCTGGATCTCTCCCAGAGGATCGGTCCTTGGAGATTGGGGACACATCAACCTTTTCCCCATACTTACATGGTGGGACTGTCACTGAAGTCAAGAGACCTGAGACTGTGAGGCATGTGAGTGCATGTGCATCTGAAGGGGGAGCACTTGAGCAGCTGGAGGGGCCATGCAATGTCTGGCACTGATGCTGAGCTGTCTTCTGCAGAAGCCCCTGGACAGAGCCCTGATCCAGCCCCGTGTTGTAGCTCCAAGTGCCCAGGAAGCCCACCGTGCCCACTGCCTACATCAAGCCTTCCGTGCACTGCACAAGTTCCAGAATCTCCATGGTCGGCCACTGCACCCCTGGGATCCTGTGAGTGACCCCCACACCACCTTCAGACTGTCTGTTTGGCCTCTCACCTGCTAGATCTCATCTTTGTGACCATTCATGGGTCTATGTTCACACCATAGAGGGAGTTCTTCCACTTAAAAAAAAGGAACATGAAGACCACTATCTTTTGTGGGAGGCTGTAGTGGGGAATGAACCTAGGGTATTTAGGGTATTGTACCATATGCTAGTCAAACACTCTTTTGTTTTGTTTTTATGAGACAGGGTCTCACTATGCAGCCCAGGCTGGCCTCACTTAGTGATCCTTTTGCCTCAGCCTCCGGAGTGCTGGGATTACAGGTGTACACCACTATGCATAGCGCTTTCTCTCTCTCTCTCTCTCTCTCTCTCTCTCTCTCTTGTTTTTGCTTTTATTTTTGTTTTGAGACAAAGTCTCACTAAGTTTCCAGGCTGGCCTCAGACTCGCAGTGCTCCTGCCTCAGCCTCCCAAGTAACTAAGATTATAGGCATATGCTACTATACCCAATTGAAAGCCACTGTCTTTAGACTAGATGCTGGGACCATGGAAGTGCCAGGCATACAGCCTCATGACCACCGCTGTCCTAACATACTAGAGCCAAGCTGGAAGCTGCGTCCAGATTGGTAGAGCCTTCCAGGCTTCTATCTTGTGCTGGGCATCCTCTCTTGGTGACAGCTGTGCCAGGCCTTCACACTTAGGCTTCTGTTTCCTCTTCTGTGGAAAAAGATGACTGGGTACCTGAAGGCTTTGTGTAGGGCGTGAGACTTAGGCTGGGGATGATGTGCCCATAGAAACCCATGCCATAGGTTGATGCAGAGATCATGGTAACCCTTGCCCGGGACCTGGGACCACTGAAGGGGGCAGAAGAAGAGCCACTGGATGAGGCCCTACTTCGAACAGTTGCCCTGAGTAGTGCTGGTGTCCTGAGCCCTATGGCATCCATTCTGGGAGCAGTGGCTGCCCAGGAAGTTCTGAAGGTGGGCATAGACGGAGAAGGGCATGGGGTGGGGAGGTCTGTGGGTCAGTGTGTGCCAGCCCTAGAGGGTTCACCAACCTAGGTGCAGGCTTCAGCTGGATCTGAGGGGCTCAAGAGTTGACAGATGCCCTCAGACTGAAGTGTTGGCCTCTAGGCAATCTCCAGAAAGTTCATTCCCCTGGACCAGTGGCTATACTTCGATGCCCTTGACTGTCTTCCAGAAGATGAGGAGCTCTTTCCCAACCCTGAGGACTGCTCACTGGTGAGGTTTGGGGCAGGGGTGCAAGCCTTGTCCAAAATCAGGCTGGAGGAGAAGCCTGAGGAATGGTCCTAAGGTCCTGAATTAATGACTCAGTGAAACAAGGAGATACAGCATAGACAGGCAACTAGCACAGACCCCTCCCTGTCCTCTAGAGAGACTCACGCTATGACGGGCAAATTGCAGTGTTTGGAGCTGGTTTTCAGGAGACACTGAGTCACCAGAACTTCTTCCTGGTGAGCTGTAGGGTGAGGATGGGTGTGTCTTTGGGAAGGCCAGTTCAGGCCCCCTGGTTAAGGCTGCTCCTGACAACAGGTGGGTGCTGGTGCCATTGGCTGTGAGCTACTCAAAGGCTTTGCCCTAGTGGGCCTGGGAGCTGGAGCCAGTGGAGGCGTGACTGTTGTAGACATGGACCATATAGAGTACTCCAACCTCAGCCGTCAGTTCCTTTTCAGGCCCTGGGACATTGATGTAAGTGCCAGCCCCTCCTACACTTGTGTCCTAGCCTGCCTTCCCATAATGCACCTGTCCTCAACGTCTTTCTCCCTTCTTCCCAGAAGCCCAAGGCAGAGGTGGCTGCAGCAGCTACCAGGGATCTGAACCCAGACTTAGAGGTGACTACATATGTCCAAGTCCTGGATCATACCACAGAACACATCTTTGGAGACAATTTCTTCTCCCATGTGGATGGTGTGGTTGCTGCTGTAGATAGCTTTGAGGCCCGTGAGTGCTTAACTCAGAGCTCAACACCTTGCCCGTCTGTGCCAGTCCCACTTCTGACCCTCTGCCCCCTTGCCAGGACACTATGTGGCTGGTCGCTGCATCCACTACCTGAAGCCACTGCTAGAGGCGGGCACACAGGGCACTAAGGGCAGTGCTTCAGTGTTTGTGCCACATGTGACTGAGGTTTACAAAGGCCCTGTCTCAGCTGAAGCTTCTGAGAATGTCCCCGCCCCTGTCTGCACCGTGCGACGCTTCCCCAGCACATACGAGCACGTCCTGCAGGTGAGAGCATGCCATCCCACCCAGCTCAGCACTCAGCTGCAGATCAGCTGCTCTTCTGATAGCTCATTGTCCTCCTTCCCCCACAGTGGGCTCGGAATGAATTTGAGGGACTCTTCCAACTATCTGCAGAGACCATCAGCTGCTACCAACAGTAAGGCCTCAGAGGCAGAGGAAAGTCCAGGACTCTGAGCACAGGACACAGCCTTCAGCTCTCTCCTCTCTCAGCAGGAGATTCACTTCCTTGGCAGACGTGGATGGGCCACAGATACTGACCTCACTGCAGCTGGTGATGGGTGTCCTGCGAGTACGCCCGCAGACCTGGCGAGACTGTGTCATGTGGGCCCTTGGCCATTGGCACCTATGCTTCCATGATGATATCATACAGCTGCTGAGTCACCTCCCACCAGATAAAGTGGGTAGTTAAGGGTTGAGTGACTGAAAACTCATGGGGACTAGACTGAACCCAGCAGCCTTTGTTTTCCTAGGTGCATGAGGATGGAACTCTGTTCTGGTCAGGTCCCAAACGGTGTCCCCAGCCCCTGGAATTTGACATCAGCCAAGTGAGTGGGGGTCCTTTGGAGAGCCTTGAGATGTAGATGCACAGATGTTGAGAGAGAGAGAGAGCCATGTTTGTGAACATTTGGGTATCCATATATGAGGCAAGCAGTCAACAAACCCACAGATGAACAGTGGACCCCACCCCATCCGCTCAGATGTGCTCATCTACACCCATGCGTCTCTGGCTGTAGGACATGCACCTCCTCTACATACTGGCAGCTGCCAACTTGTATGCCCAGATGCATGGGCTGCCTGGCTCATCAGATCAGACTGTGCTCAGGGAACTGGTGAACTTGCTGCTACAGACTGACCCCCAACACCCGGCCCCCGTGCTGGCTAAGTGTGGTGAGACTCCTGTTCCTGTTCCCATACTGTCACTCAGAGGCCTGACCCTGTCTTCAGTTTGTGCTACAGAAAGAAGATAGGGTCCTGGATCACTACAACCAACTTACTACTTCTCAGGCCCTCTTACCTTGTTTCTCTCTAGCCCCATCTTCTGGCTCCACCAGGAGCTCCTGTGCCTGCTATCTACTGCATATTCCACTTCTCTTGGGAGAATATTAGAATTTAAAAGTCCTGGGGAGAGCCAGGGGATTTAGCTCAGTGGTGCCACTGCCTACCTCGAAAGCACAAGGTCCCGTGTTCAATTCCAGGTAGAAGAAAAAAAAAGCCCTGGGGATGTCTAACTGTAGACAGTCACATCAGTGTGTACATATGCACAGAGGGGGAAGGCTGGAGAGAAGACTGTAGCATCAATCAGTGGGCTCTTTCAGTTTGATCAAGAAGTGGTGACAGTCTTGGTACCAAGAATAGGTACCAAGCTCCAGGAAGAATGCAGGAGACAGACTAAGGACACCAGCACCTACTCCCCTGACAGGCCCTGAACAGTTGAAAGAACTGCAGGAAGCCCTGGAAGTCTGGAGCAAAGGCCCTCCCCTGAAGCCCCTGGTGTTTGAGAAGGTGGGATTCTAAATGAGGGTGAGAGGTGGGGCTGGGAAGATTGTGGGGGAAGGTGAGGAGCTGCAGAGTAGATTGAATTCTTCCCCCCAGTGGGACCCTTCAAGCAGCTCATGCTCCTTGAGCCTCAGCCTCATTATGTGGTGAAGGGGAGATGAGGAGCACCCACTCACAGAACCATGAGAAGATCTAGCCATGGTACACAGGTGGCCACGGTAAAGGGCAATGCTGCAGTGTTCACACTATTGTCACTTTGGCCTTACAGGATGAAGACAGCAACTTCCACATGGACTTTGTAAGAGCAGCAGCTAGCCTGCGATCTCAGAACTATGGTATCTCAGAACCAGTAGACCATACTCAGGTAACCTCAGCTCTTGGAGCATAGGCTTAGAAATGGGGGCCAGACTTTAACGCTACAATGTAGACCCGATCAAATCTCCTGTCCTTGGCAGAGCATGAGAATTGCGAGCCAGATCATCCCAGCCATTGCTACCACTACAGCAGCGGTAGCAGGGCTGGTGGGCCTAGAGCTGTATAAAGTGGTGCGCAGGCCACAGCCTGTTGGTGCCTTTCGTCATACCTACCTGCACCTGGCTGAAAACCGCCTTCAACGCTCAGTACCTTCCACCCCAGCCATCCAGAAGGTAAGCCCTTGACACCCTACCCCTACTCCCATAATCTTAAGTTTTCCCCGCACCCACCCAAACAGGCCCCATTCTAAACCTGGCATGGTGGGCACATGCCTGTCATCTCAACTACTCAGGAGGCTGAGGCAAAAGGATCCCAAATTTGAGGTTATCCTGAGCAACTTAGTGAGAACCTGTCTCAAAATAAAATAAGGGCTGGCAGAGGCTCTGGGTTCAATTTCCAGTACAAAAACAAAACAAAAAACAAAGACAAGCCCAGGCCCACTCTAGCTTTTTGTCACTCTCTAGAACCCAGACAGTGAGGGAGTTCTTAAAACTTGGTCTAGCCCCCTTCCTGCTAAGAAGCCAGGCTGGAACTGTCAAGACACAGGAAGCAGCCATCAGCTACCCCGCCGCCCCACAGTGTCCAGGGTCTGGGGGAGCTGCAGCTTTAACTCATTAGTAGACCCAGACATCTCCACAGCCCTCTCCTTCCCAGGAGTGTCTGAGTGGGGAGCTGTTAAGGAAGGGGAAGGGGTAGAAAAGAGGTACCAGGGCTGTACCCCCAGAAAGAGTCCAGATTCTCCTTGCAGGGTCCTGGCCTGTCCCCTCAAGGCTGAGTTAAAAGATACCAGGCTTGCCACCAGGAGTGTGGGTCTGCATCCCTATAGGAGTATATGCTTGGGTCACAGATATATTTGCCAGAGCCTGGGAATCCCTGGTGTGCAGGCGTGGAGGTAGCAAACTTGCACATTTGTGTGCCAGATGGGAGTCCAGGGCTTTTCCTCAGTGTGGGTATGCATGAATGTGCATGTGGGTACACGTGGGTGTTCCTGGGCTTGTGTGCATTTGTGCTCCTGTGAGTGCAGGGCTTACCTCTGATTGTGTGCCCAGGCTCTGCAGTAGTTTCCATTTCTTTCAGGCACAGGAAACGGGGCAAAGGGAATGCACTTCACAGGGGAGAGGGCAGAGGTCACTGGCCAGCCCTGGGCTTTGCTGGGTAGCCCTAGGGTCTCTCTGGACACAGGACACAGAACCCCTTTGTGAAGTTCCCCACCTCTAAGCAGCACACAGGCTGCCTTTGTCCATGGAACCGGGGCGGGGAGCCCCCATCTTGTGTCTAGCCTAATCTCAGCTCAACCCCAGCGTATTGTCTAAGGGGCTGGCAAGACCTCCTTGCCCTGGACTCTGGCTTCTGGCCACACTTCTGTTCTTAGCTCTGGACACCAGAACCTTATGACTTTTGAAACAGGGAAGGAAATGTAACAGGAAGAGGAGGCCTCTGTGGACTATATGTGTCCCTTCTGGGATCTCTGGGCCAGTAGGGCCCCGTTGGTCACTGTGCCCTTGGCCACAGTGTATACATGAGTAGTTCAAGGCTTCGTAAGGATGGGCGAGTAGGATGTGTCCCCAGCCCTCAGCCTTGCAGCTTTATCAGAGACTTACAGCAGCCTGGCTCTGGTTTCCTCAGGAAGCACCACCCCCTCAGCCTACCCCCAGCAACTGGCCTGCTTGATGGATCATCTGTTTCCCTGTGTGGGCCTCATAGCCCCATTTCCTGTGCTGGCCCCAGCCTGAGCCCAGATTCCACCCCCCACCCCCCACTCTCTGGCTCTGCTTCCTGCCTCTTAAGTCCAGCTCCTCCCCAAAGAAAGGCTGTTAGAAACTGGGACATGGTGGGCTGCAATTTAGATGAGTAGTCTCTCGCTCCTCCCTTCTTCCACCCCCAGTTTCATCACCTGGAGTGGACCCGTTGGGACCGCCTGAAGGTGCCTGCTGGGCAGCCGGAGAGGACACTGGAGTCACTGCTGGACCATCTCCAGGTGTGCCCTTGCCCCTCTCGGCCCCAGCTCTGCCCAGCCTGGCTCAGTGGGAATCTGACCTGTGTCTCTCTAGGAACAACATGGGCTGAATGTGAGGATGCTGCTGTATGGTCAAGCTGTGCTCTATTCAACCCAATGGTCCCCTGAAAGTCAGGCCCAATACCTGCCCCTCAGGTGAGCCTGCACCTGGCTGTGGCCAGGCCCTGCCTACCTGTAGAGGTTGGAGATGGGAGACATACATTTCTTCTTCCTGACCCCACTGGGCCCCATACACCTTTCTGAAGCATTCTTTGACCAAATGGAGTCAGCAAATGGGTTGGGGGTGGGGCAGGGCTGTAGGCTTGAAGAGGGGCTGCTTTAGGGGCTGCCTGCTTGGCCTTCCCCACTGGCTCCCCACACCCTGCCCAGCCCCCCTTTCACAGCCCACTCCCAGAGGACCCAAAGCTTCCTGCCTCCTGCCCTCCCCACCAGCTGCTCCTAAAATAGTTTCAGATGTTTCCTGTCTTGAGCTACTCCTCCTGGTTTGAGCTCCCTTTGGCTCAACAGCACCCCGAATTCATGCCAGGTTGTCTTTGTCTCAGTTCATCTGCCTAATCTCTAACCACCCCCCATTCCAGGGTGACAGAACTGGTTCAGCGGGAGACAGACTGGGTGCCTGAGCCTGGACTGAGGGTGCTGGTACTGGAGCTGAGCTGTAAGGGTGAGGAGGACAACACTGCCTTCCCACCTCTACACTACGAGCTGTGGTGAGGCACCCCTGCACTTGGCTTAACACAGCCCTGTGCAGAAGCCCTAAATCCTGAGGCCACAGCAGGCACTCAATAAAGCTTGTTGAAGGAAGGCAGGAGTGGAGAAAATGAATGATAGGACAGCAGGGGCTGGAGCACATGGCTGTAACATGGGAAGACAGACCCTCAAAGGGAAAGAAAAGACTTCAGATTTGCCTGCCTGGACTGTGCCTCTCAGGGATGCATCTGCCTCCTGGAGCCTCAGGGGTATGGAACCAACAGTATAGAAAAAGGCTTTTATTGTCCCAGGCTGAAGGGCAGGGTCAGAGGTAGCTGACATCATTGCAGATGATGGGTTGGCGGCTGCGGCAGTTCATGAGGGCTGCAAAGCGTGAGACATCTGCAGGCAGTTCGGGATCTGAGCGAGGTGGGCATGAGAGGCGCTTTCCTGCCATAGCTGCCCGCCGAGCCCTGGCCAGCTGGCGCCGCAGCTGCTCAGAGAGGCCAAGCAAGAACTGGGGGGGCCGAGCACGAGCACGGGGTGCACCTTCATCACCTCCCTCACGTGCTGCCTCAGGAAGCTCCATCCAGTTGTGAACTAAGTCAGCAAAGCAGTTGTCCCCTAGCACCAGGGGCTGGCGACTGCGACCCCTGTTCAGCAGGGCTGCTGTCCAGTCCTCTGTTTCCAGTCCCTGCCAATGCTCCAAGCAGGCATCTGGGGTGGACTTGGGGCGCGGACGGTGTGCAGATGGGGTTCTGGCTATAGGTGCTGTGCTGGGCAGTGGGAGGCCACTGACTGAGAGCCGCTGACTCTGAAGGGGCTGTGCTTGGTATGCTGGGCGCTGGAGTACAGGCAACTCTTCCTCTCGCCATGTGCTGCCTGATACCTCTGAGAAGCCTGAGTCCCAGTCTAGACTGTGCTCCCTGTGACCCCCCAAGACTGCACCCCTGTCTTTTGTCACTGAGGCTTCCTCCTCCTCTTCCTCCACACAGCAGACAGAGTCTTCTTCCAGGGCATCTGAGGCCCCGAGCTGGTGGCTGGACACACCTGGGTCAATTTTGGGGGATGGCTGCAGGGGGCCAGGCAATGGGGATGAGCCTGTGTTCCGGCTACACAACTGAAGGAAAAGAGAGAGCAGAAATTGGAGGGGTACTGCTTGTTTCCCTTGTGTGCCTGGCCAGATCAGCCCTGAGAACAGATGATCCAGAGAGCTCGAAAGGGCTGCTGGCCTGGGCAGCAGGGTGAAAAGTGAGCACAGGGCAGGTATGGGGGGGCCTGGCACATGAGCAGACCTGGTGGCAGTTCAGCAGGCTGCAACATGCAGGGCCAGGCAAGTCAGCACCCGCCACCAAGGCCTGCACTGGGAAGTTAAGTCCTGCCTGGGGTTGGGGAGGGGTGTCCCATGCCTCTTGTGGGATGCAGATCCCCAAAGCCCAAAGGGTCTTTCAGAGAGAGAGAGAGAGAGAGCTCTTGCTAGGTGAGGAAGCATAAGGGAAGGAGACAGCCTGAGGTAGGGGACTTCCACAGCAGAACCAGACCTCTTTAGGCCCTGGCACTGCCTGTCCCAAAAGAAGTCCCCTCCAACTACTCTCTTCCCCAACAACCAGCGGCCTGGCCAGCTGGGCTGCTGTTACCTGATGCCCAGAGTAGCTCCCAGCCCTCTGAAACCCGACTCGGCCATTTGGCCGCCCCGCCCCCTCCCGCCTCTGGTGGGCACCCAGGCTGGGCGGCACCGGGCACCCCACACGCGTCTCGGTGCCACACCCACTCCCGCGCCTCACCATTTCCCAGCGGAGCTGACTCAGGAAGCCGTCTAGACGCACGCTGTGCATGTTGGTGCCAGAGCGCCCGCCAGGGCTGCTAGCACCTCCTCGACCCGAAGGAGTGGTGCAGACACGGCCAGGCTGGCCGGGCTGGCCTGCCCGACGCCCTCACTCTCTGTCGGACTCCAAGAAGCTTCAGCCACCGCCCCAACATCTGGCAACCGAGCCCCGCCCCCCCCCGCTGCAGCCAATGAGGGTAGAGTAAATCCGCGGAGACCCCGCCCCTTGCAGCACCGCCCCGCGAGCTCCGCTGCTCTAAGGGCGTCCCATCCACAATGCGTTGGCTCTGCGTGGAGGGGCGGGGCCGTGGCTAGACCTCAGTTTGGTTTTAGAGACCTCCCTGACATCCAGTGAGGTTCAGCTAATCCTGTGTTCAGTGCGTGACGCGCGACAGGTCGCTTTCCCGCAGTAGCCCCAGCTTGCCCATTTGTCCCACGGTGGAAGAGCGGTCCCTCCCACGAGGACTCCGTGCTACTCCCATGTGTGGGCAGAGCGACAGTGATCGTCGGACCTGGCGAAGTTGTGGTCCGCTCGAGGACCGACCAGTTCTTGAAACTGGCTTCAACAGATCCTGGAAATGACAGGATTGGGGTTTAGCCCCTCTGCGTACTCTAGGAGTGCAGAACATCGCGAAGTCCCAGGCATTGCCCTCTCCTCTCGCCTGCTCCAAGATAGGCCGGATCGCCCTCTAGCGGGAGCGCAGCTAAGCACTGCCATCCGCTTCCCTAGGCCGGATTAGGTGTAGTCTCTAGGCTCCTGGAGCGGGATGGGTAGCATTCTGCAACCGGATGGGTCACTGCTTGTCAAGTGAGGTCGCTCCAGGATCGGAGGCTAGGTTCAAGGATGCAGTCTATCTGCGGACAGACTGGATGTATCAGCAGGAAAATATAGAGGAATAAAGATTAATGAGCTGGTTTGAGAGATCCCTCAGAGGAGGTGACATCCAGATACAATCCGATTGAACCTTTATGAGATCAAAAAGAGGGTCATTCTCGAGTGGACTCCAATCTTATTTCAGTGATATTTTTATATGACAATCAGGGGGAAGGTATTATTAGCTCGATGTCTGAGGATAGGATCACTTGTCAAATTTCTACCTGGCTTTTAGTATCTTTGCCAATTTGAGCATCTTGTGCACTTTAGAATTAAGAGACTAAGAATCATCCCTTACGTCCATGTTGGGACTTCAGGATCGTATCTGGTTAGACCCTGGGCTGAACAACTGGGGAAAGATTTTGCCAATTCGAACTGTAGACACTGAACCAAAATAATTGTTTTTTTTTTAAGTCTATGATTATTTAGTCTCTATGAGGATGGGATTTAGTCACATGCTAGTACAAAATGTGTATCTGTACTAATTGGGGGATCAATGGGCTTGCTGTGTATATGAATGTTTGAAAATTATAAATATTAGCTCCACAGATGAATTTAATTTAGATTTATTTAAGAGTATAACATATACAATATGTATGGTACCTAATAAAATAAATTTGAAATAAAAGAAAGAGAAAAGGGGCACTCTACAAGGTGTGTGGTGCATGCATGTAATCCCAGATATGGAGAGACTGAGACCAGAAGATCCCAAGTTCAAGTTCTGCCTGGACAATTTAACAAGATCCTTTCTCATATAAACAAATGAAAAGGTCTGGAGATATACTCCAGTGAATGAGCACCCCTGGTTGAATCACCAGTACCAGGAAAAAGGAAAGAAGGAAGAAAAGAGGGAGGGAGAGATGGAGGGGTGAAATGAAGAAGGAAAAAGAAAAGAAGAGAGGCATTTTAGGCAAAGAGATAAGCTGCTATAAAGACCTAAGGTGCAGGAGCTGGGTGGGAGCTGGGCAAGACCAAACATAAAAAAGGCCCAGGTGTGTATAACTGTTGGTGATATAGGGAGCAAAGAGGTCAGCAAAACAAGACTACTAGTAGCCTTAGAGGAAAATATGGGTTTTATTCTTTGTTGTTGTTGTTTTGAAAGAGTCTTGCTGTACAATGTAGGTTGACTTAAACTCAAGATTCTCCTACCTCAGCCACCCAAGTGCTTGGATTACAAGCTTGTATCACCATGCCCAGCCTGGGTTTTGTTCTTTATTTGATAAGAAGCATAAGCCTTTTTTCAGGGATTGAACTGGCCTAGTTAAATAGTCCCAGCTGCTTTAGGAGCATGACTCTAATCAAAGGAGACAAAGGCCTGGGCCTGCCCCAGCAGGCACACAGAGAATGATCACTTTGATTATGTTTTGTAGTTGAAATTAAGCCTCAATGAGGCATAGATGTGAATAGGGAAGGGCATCAAGCATGGCTTCTGCACTTCCGGCCTGAACAGCTAATTGGATGGAATTGCCCTAAATTGATCTAGGAAAGAGTGGGTTTGAGGGGAAATCAAAAGATCATGTGTGGACATGTGATTCTGGAGATGATGCAGGGTCAGCCACAAGGTGTATGAGGCAAATTCAGGAGCAGTGTTAGCACTGGAGCCTTATGGGACTGCAGGCAAAGCCAGTGAATGGTACTTCTAGCATGGACTTAGATGAGATGGAGAAGTGAGTGTAGACAGCAGAGCACAGTAGTGAGGGTGGAATCCTACACATTCCACTGGATAGAAGTAGTGGAGGTGAAACTGAACCAGCAAAGGAGCTGGGCAAGTGCAGCTAGGGAGGTGGGAGAGTGTGGGGATTTAGGAGCCAAGGAACCAAGTGTCAAATGCTGAGTAAAGGAGGTAAGGGTAGAGAATAAACTTCTGGCTTCAGATCTGGGCAGTGTAACACCTCTAGTTCCAGCCACTCCAGAGATTGAGGCAGAAGAATCCCTCGAGCCCTGGAGTTCGAGGCCAGCTTGGGCAACATATCTGGTTTCCATCACAGAAAACAAAAACAAAAACAAAACCCTACAGACTACAGCAGTGTGCAGGTCACTGAATCCCTGGCAAGGGGAATTTTGTGGAGAGAGGGACGACCCTAATTGGTATGGGTAGAGAAGAGGATGAGGGATGAAAAGCTACAGAGAGAAAGGGAGGAAAACTTTTTTAAATTAATATAATTATCCAGGCTTGCTTATAGTCCCAGCACTCTAGGAGGCTGAGGCAGGAGGATCACAAGTTCAAGTCCAACTGGGCAACTTAGCCATTTAGTGAGACCCTGTCTCAAAGTAAAAAATAAAGGGCTGGGGATGAGATGTAGCTCAGTGAGAAGCCCTGAGTTCAATCCCAAGTACTGCAGAAAAAATGGATAAATATCAAAGATATGGCTCAATAAATGTTAAAATCTGTGAATACCTTTGCAGTAGTAACCCAGATGAAGAAAGAGCACATCCTCAGTCCCTCCAGGAAGCTACCTTGTGCTAGACCATATTTCCCCACAAATAATATTAATAATACTAATTTTCACTTCAAAAGATGCAATGTTAAATATTTTTCATGTATAACAATCTACACTTTTTCATATACAACAATCTACATTTATTCATGTACAAAAATCTATATTTATTCAAATGCAGTCATGTCATCTTCTGGAACATAGTCATAACTCTCCAAACCTCGAATTCCAGCCTGAATTTCTTGTAACTCCACTTCCTATACAATATTTGGCCCCAATCTCTCATAACCAGTGAAAGAACTCTCCTTAAATGAGGACTTCTTGTCCATGTAGCCTGCTCATAATGGGTTCTTACAACACATGACATATCGAATTATGAAGATTCATAATAGGCACAACCACATACATTTGTTATCAAGTGTGGATGTTATTTGTGAATTGTGTGTACTCTGATCAGTCACTCGGCAATAAGTCTTGAGTTCATCTGTTTGCATAGGCCTTTACTTCTTGTCCAAAGGCACCTACTTGGGTAATTACAAATTCCTAATTTATACTATCATTTATGTTGAGTATTACTACCAGTAATATTTATTAATATTTTGATATTATTATAATTTAATAAATCCTCTGTGTGTTGCAAGGGACGTATCAAAGTCATCCATCTGGCTGATCTTTTTTTTCCTGATGATCTTAACTGGGGCTTATTTTAGGGATAGGGCTTATATTATGAGCACCCTGAAAAAAATCATTCTAGGGCTTATTTTCTGGCTAGGTCTTATTTTGGGGGAACTTCGGTAGCCTTTTGGTTGGTCTCCTTCCATTCCCTTGTGGTGTGGTCATTAATGAGAGATCTCAGTGGGGACAGTGGAAGACAAGATTTTCCAGGCCTCTGGAGGTCTGCCAGGGTTCAGAGCACAGTCTCAGGGGATTGGGTGGGGCCAGCTGTGTTTGAGCAACTGACCTGGCAACGGGGTGGGCCTGACAAACAGCCTTCTCTGCCACCTCTTCAGGCCACCATGGTTCCGCTGAGGCTCCTGATGATTCTTTTGGCTCTGGCTGTCTTTGGTGAGGAGCTGGTGGGTAGGAAGCCCCAATTTCCCCTCATAGTCATGACCCTTCAGTGGGTTACCATGGAGAGAGGGCAGCTGGAGAAACAGGAAAGGGTATCAGAACCCCTGACCCTTGTTCCTTATCTTGGCTGCTTCCTCAACCAAGTTCTCTCTCCACATTTGTGAAATGTCAGATAGAGGGACAAGGAAGGACCTCAGTTACTTGGCCCCAAGACGTGGCCAGGTCCTGTGGCAAAAGGGTGGGTCTGTGCTTGTGTGTGTGGTTCTTTGAACATGGGAGGCCTCCAACTTGAGTTTTTGCTCCTCACAGACCTCCACAGCTTGCCCTGGTTTGTAAATGTCTCTGAGAGCAAGGGCCCTGGCACTGTCCTTCAGGCATTCACCTTCAACTGCTCCTTCTACATGCCCACCCTGGAGTTGCTCAGTGTGCAGCCGCCCACCACTTTCTTCAACACACCCAGCCTTGCTAGGCATGGTGGGATCTATGTGGGAAAGGTAGGGTCATGAGTACAACTGGGAACTAGGGGACCAGGGCAGACTTGAAATCCAAAATCCAGAGGTGTTGTAGGGAGACAGCCTAGACACCACGTGCCGTTGCTCACCCACCACAGGTGATCTTAAGCAGCTCAGCCCGGCTGGATGCCCTTGCAGTGAACCACTATGTTCTGCAGCTGAAATATAAATGTGGCAACTTTGTGATGGAGGCACCACTGTTTTTGGATGTGCAGCGAGACCCTGGCAATATCCAGTGTGTTGGTAGATTTGTCAGCCCAGGTGAGGCCAGGGACAGTAGGCAGGGGTATGGCTTGAAAAGAGCCTCTCTGACCTACTCTCTGTGTAGCTGGGGAAATCATTCAGGTGCCGGAGACTGTCAGCCCTGGGGCCCTGCTGTACACTCTGCTTTTCCCAGGCCTAGAAGTCCAGGGAGCCCAGGTAAGCCCAGCACATGGATGACAGGCTGAAGTGGGGGAAAGATGGAGAGCAAGCTCAGCCTCCTCCTGGCCAGGCACAACCTGCAGAAGGACCTTACAGCGTATGACTGAGCCTCTGTAGGATGTATACTGTTGGAAAGAACTACCAAGGGCCACTAACCCTCCCAGACACCATGCCTGTTTCCACAGGGACATCTTAGAGGCTGAGCTCTTCTTTCCAGTTCTGCTATGTGTTCTAAGTTCTCCTTGATGATCTTATATCACTTTTATACTCCAAAAAACAAAGTAGTTTTTTTCAGGGTGGGGTGTTGAGACAGGGTCTCACTATGTAACTGGGACTGACCTGAAACTCACTATGTAGCCCAGGATGGTCTCGAACTCACAGTGATCCTCCTACCTCAGCCTCCTGAGTGCTGGGATTACAGGTGTGAGCCACCATGACCGACCAACAAAATAGTTTGTTCAAATAACTAATTTTAAAACAGAGAGAACTGAAGATTAGGGTAGGATTCAGAGTGGAGGGCAAGGAACCTAGGCTGGGGCAAAAGTCAAGGGTGAGGCATGAGAGGCTCAGGTGTGCAGGTGCCCATGGAATTGCTGAAGGATGTTGACAGTGGTGCTTGGGGCACTGAGCACTGCATGGAGCTGCTAGCTTCTCATTTTTATCAGATGAACATTACCAGTGCCCAGGACCCTCCATACTTTCCTGGACCTTTCTCTATCAATGAAAAAGGTTTGCTGCGGGCACCATCCCAGGGCCTCAGAGGCCAGGCTCAAAAGGTGAGCATGACTTGGCCCTTGGGGATATTTGTGTATTGGGCAGAGCCACCACTTCTGACAATTTGTTTGTTATTGGCCCCCTTGGCTCCTGGACAAATGCTGCCTCTCACAGGCGTACCTCTGCTGCCCAATGCTGACTGCCCTTTCACTTTGGCTGCGATCTGTGCTGGGCTCTGAAGTTCTAGGAAGAGGAACAGTCCCTGATCCTGGGGGCCCACAGGCCCTCTAGCAGAAAGCAGAGTGCTTTAGAGCAATCACACATTAAGAGAAAGTTTTGAGTAAAGTGGCTACTGAGGAGTTGAAGAAGTTCTCTCTTCAACACTTTCACCTCTTAGTAATTGGCTCTTAGCAACTCTAATCTAACAATTTGGTTGTGAATACTGAGATATTACTCTTCCTTGAGATGTTTGCAACTTAATAGAAGAATTTGTAGAGCTCACAGGAATAGTGAGACCAGCAGAGTGACAGGTCACAGGGGAGGAGTGAATACTGGGGTCCTTGTGGCAGCTGTAGGGGAGGACTGAGTATAAACATAGAGGTGAATACATCCCATCATCTTCTTTCCTACATGGTATGCCCTTCAGGTCTTCCAGATGCAGATCTCGGTGACCTTTGGCCAAGGCCGAAGCTGCAAAGGGATACTGACAGTGAAGGTTTTGCCTGTTCCCTCCAGCCAGGTCTCCTTCCAGTAAGGGTCCCCTACTCTGGGAGCTGTGGGGAAGGTAGGGCCTGGTCCCAGGAAGTCAGGAGTAGGGGTAGGGTACAGGGTCGCTGGAGCATCCTGGCTCTAAAGGGAAGGGAGCCCCGAGGGAGGAGCCAGGAGACCCCATCAGGATGCATAGGAGCAGGGAGGAGTCAGGGCTCCACTTTTGGTCCAGGAAGAAGACCCAGAATATCATCATACCCGAGAACCTTGTCCCTGGGAGTGAGGTGATTCAGGTCCAAGCTACTGGCTTAGATTTGCGCTATGAAATCTGCTCCCCGGTGCCCAGCCCACTCTACTCCATCGGACGCGGTGAGGGGGATGGGGAGTGTGGGTACCCGGAAGCCCCTATCACCACCTCACCCTCCTAAGCCAGAGCAGCAGCGATCTTGGCTGGGGCCCTGGTCTTGGAGGAGGAGGTGAGATAGCTAGGTCAGTGGCTTTGGCAGTGGGAGCGGTTGGGGTCAGGGGTGTCCTGAGCTGGGGCCAGACCGACTCCATATCTCTTCCTTCCCATCGAGCCCAGTCGATGGGGTGATCCGGACCACAGCGCCCCTGGAACTGGCAGGCGCCTCAGGCGCAACCCCCACTAGACTGCGTGTGAAGGCCTTTGAGCGGCTCCAGCAGTGGGCCAGTGCCGAGCTGGACCTCACCGTGAATGTGCGGCCGGTCAACCGCTGGCCCCCACTCTGCCACCCAGCGCTCCTAGTGTGAGTAGAGGGGAGCCTTTCCCAGGCTCCTGGGAGAGATCTGCGACTCATTGTTGGGCAAGACTCCTGCCCTGCCTCCTTCCCTCACTACCAGGACTGAAGTCCCTGAGGCCACACCTGTGGGCACCGCGTTGAGCACCTTCACGTGCAATGACCCAGACTCTGCTGATACCAACCTCCACTACCAACTTCAGTTTCACAGCCCTTCCAATTCTGCCAGCCTCCGTCTTTACGACAGGGTCCTTGAGGTGCCAGCCCCCACTTGCTCTCAGACCATCTATAGGACATCTAGGGCAGGAAGGGGCAGGAAGGCCAAAGATCTGTGGACACTGAGACCTTGGAGGTGGTGGTGAGGTGGTTGTTGAGATCCCCTGCTTTGTAGTCTGTAAAACAGGATCAAGATAGCCTGACTGGATGCCTGGGCCTGGAGCAGCCCAATGTGGCCTGAGGCTCTTCCAGACCCAGACTGAGCCCTCCTTCTGGTTTCTCTGGCTAGGTGAACACCACATTGGACTGTGACATTCCTGAGGCCTGCTTCCAACTTGCAGCTTCCGTCCTGGTGCATGACAGTGGTCAGCCCCAGATGACCAGTATGTAACCCTACTTAGGCCAGGATTTTCAGGATCAGGCTATGCTTTCCACCCTCCCATGCCCAAGACAAAGACCTCTTTCCTCTCTCAGAAACCAGTACAGGGCCCAGGGATTTAGCTCAGTGGCATTGCGCCTGCAATCATAAAGTCCTGAGTTCAATCCCCAGTACTAAAAAAAAGAAACCAGTACAGCCAGGTTGTCTCCATTGCCTCCTTTTCTCCAGCTCCTCTCCCTCAGTGCTCCACAGCAGGGGATACCTCCTTTCTCAGACCCCCAGGGAAAGCTAGGTACACCCTGACCAGCTCCTTGACTCCCAAATGGCCCCCAGCTGAAGTGCCAGTGCTGGTGATGGTGACACCTGTGAATGAGTTCTCCCCAGCCTGTGCCCCACGGACATTCCGGGTTCGTGAGGATGCACAGCCCTATACTCTGCTGGGCTCTGTGGTGGGCACGGATATGGATTATCCCCAAAGCAGCATTGAGTACTACATCTCTGGTGGACTCACTGTCTTTGCTGTGGACCATCTCTCTGGTACTTGCCACTCAGGGCTGGGTGGAGGGGTGGGAGCAAAGTTGGCTCTTCTGGCTGAGGCTGTGGCCATACCCCCAGGGGAAATTCGCCTTCTGGGGCCTTTGGACTATGAACAGCAGAAGTTGTACAGGCTCACCGTCCTGCTGATTGACCATGGCCAAGATTGGGACTCCACCCACCACCGTTCTGGGTCCTGTACCATTACCATTGAGGTTGAGGTGACTGAACCTGAGGCCTTGGGAAGATTCGAAAGACAAGAGTTTCAAATGCATTCTGGTCTTTGCTTTTCTATGCTGTGCCTTAGGTTCTTCCACTGGTTGGTTGGAGGGAATGGGGCTTCACTGTGAAAACTGTTAGAGCCTGTTGCCTGATGCCTGTACTTTGGCTGTGGTAGGAGGAAGTTGAGGGGCTGGACTTGGGTTGCACACAGTCCTAACCTGTTGGCCTTTCCTAAGGATGTGAATGATCATGCTCCCGAGTGTGAGCCCCCATTTCAGGAACTCACCATCTCCAGTCCCCTGGGCCATAATGTGGAGGTGACCAAGATGTCCTGCCAGATCCTCCAGGAGCCACAGCGTCTGGCCTTATCCTACAGCATTGTGGGAGGTATGGCTTGTGGGGGCCATAAATCTGTGGATGAGGGCCAGGCCAAGGCCAATAGTGGTCCCCTTCTCCTACCATTCTGCTTTCAGGGAATAGTCAGAGCCGATTCAGACTGCAAGGAGCCATCCTGGTGCATAATGACTCTGTGTTGGGACCTCCTTGGCCACAGCAGCCCTGTACCTATGAGCTATTGATCCGTGTGGCTGATGCTGGTCCTTCCACCTCTCACCTCAGCACCACGGCCACCATCATTGTACATCTACTTCCCTGGAAGGCCAGCACAATGGCCACCCGCACTCACAGAGCTATAGTGAGGGGGCCTCAAGCCTTGTGGATGGGGAGGGAGGAACTTAAAGACCTAGTCTTTTGGGTAGAATGGGAGGGGAAGGCATTCTAGGGGGGACTGCTTGGTGCAAAGAGCCTGGAAATGCAGCAATTCAAATGTGGGGAGTGGAGCAGCTCAGCCAATGGAAAGGTTTGAAGGCTGATCAGGCATCTTTCCAGGCCCATGATAAGGCTGTGTCCTCCAACTCAGGTGCCCTCAATGATGACACCCCTGCTCGTGACAGACACAGAGGTTTTCTGGCATCCGGAGCCCTGGTTTGTGGTGGTACTGACAGTGACTAGTGCCCTTCTCCTCCTAGCTCTGGGCTGGCTTCTCAGCAAGCTGCTCCAGGGGTAGGGTGCCCTTCCCTGTGCTCCCTGCCTCCTTTAGCCCACCTGCAGGCCCTAGTTAGGATAGGTGATTTCACCTAAGATTTGCTAACAGGAAGAAAAACTGATGTTGAGGAGAGCTCTGCTGTTCCCTAGAGGTCTTCAGACTGGGGTCAGAGAGACACTAGGAGGAAGTGGCATTATTTATTAGCAGAGCCTAGTCTTGAAATGGGATGGATGTGGATGTTACAGGGCTCAAAACCTTGAGACTGTTTTGCATGGGCCATTTACACCTATTCTTGACCCCTGTCCTCCACTTAAAATCTGTCCGGCTCGGCTAGGAATTTAGCTCAGTGGTTCCACTGCCTGCCTCGCAAGTGCAAGGACCCGAGTTCAATCCCTGGTACCAAAAACAAACAAACAAAATCTGCCCTGCTCCTGCAAGCTGAAGTTCTTGTGGGAACAGGACTGAGCCCAGGGGAAGGGAGATAGCAATATGGTCATCCCTTACAAACATTGGTTGTCGCTAATATAAAGTAAATGATGAATGGTACCATTTCCTGATAACAGCAGGCTTCTTCTCACTGCTTGGTTCCTCCTCTTATCATTTTAGGCTGGCCCAGGTACTTCAGGCACCAAGGAAGCCAGGCCAGGCCCTGCTGCTAAAAAGGTCAGTCTTTTACTCTGGTCCCTGTGCTTGCAAGGTAAGCCGTGGAACTACTGAGCTAAAACCCCGGCCCAACAGGTCAGTCTTTTTTGCACATTTCTATACTTGGGAGCTCACTTTTATTTTTTTTTTCCTCGCAGTCCTAGCGATTAAATCTAGTGCCTTTGCACTAAACTACTACCCCAGTCCTTTTTATTTTCTTTTATTTTGAGACAGGGTCTTACTAAATCACTAAGTTGTCCAGGTTGGGCTTGAACCTTAAGCTTGAACTTCAGACTCTCAGACTGCTGGGATTATAGGCATGCACCATGACACCTGGGTAGGGAGCCCACCTATTAAACTCAGGCTGGGGCCCAAGGCCTTATTCTGTCCTCACTTTTTTTCTCCAGTATTCAAAGAAAAGAAAGATCCGTTGAGGGGTTCATGGAGACACCAAGAATAGAGATGCCCCAGGCACCCAGCAGTGTCCTAAGCTTGGTATGTCAACTCATCCTCCTCTGGAGAGGGCACCGAGGCTGCTCCAGTGTAACTCCCTGGCCCTGAATAACCTGCCCCCTTGCCTGTGAAAGGCTGCCTCTGTAAGAGAGCTCACACCAGCACGACTGGGCTGGGGAGGCAGGCGGGCTCCTAGCCTAGCCTGCAGGACAGGACAGTTCTCTGTTTGCTCCCTGTGGGCAAGCTTCACTTCATTGTGTCATCTTGCTTTCTTCTCAGGGAGCATTTTGATGGCAAAGCACAGGGTGCTTGTGAGTACCCCCTTTTCCCAAATCATTCTTTTTCTGGGCCCTCATCCCACCCCAGAATTTCCTCTACTACTAAGCAGTCACCATCTACATTATCTCTGATGGGTTCACTCTCACCCTCATTTACACTTCAGCCAATCTTTGTCAAAAACTGATGGGGCCAGGAAATGACTCAGACCTGCTCTGATCCCTACCTCCAGGGGTAGGAGAGGAGGTGATGAGGGAGAGTTTTCCACATATTCCACTGTCACTAGCAAATTATGGTAGAGTAATCTGGCACTGACAGGGAAACTGGTATCCAGTTTTAGATAATCAAGGAGATTTCCCCTGTGCATCTGAGTCAGATCTTCGGGAATTTTCTGAGAAGGGAGGAGACACATTGGATTTCAGCAGAAAAAGGGTCACACTGAGGGACCCAGAATCTTATTCCCTTACCCTTAGGGGAGGGAAGAAATTCTGCTGAGACTGCAGCGATCTCTCTCCTGCCTCCCCTTTTCTTTCTGTGTCTGTCTGTTTTACCACCACCCTCCCTGCCTCCTGGTCATCTGGGGCCAGGTACAGGAATCAGAGATTACCTGTTGGACACATGCATGGGAACTCAGCACTGGCTCTGAGACCAAGCAACTGCTTCACTATATGTAGGATTTCTTCTTCATGTGATCATGAACTGTTTTCAAGTGATATAATAATAAAATTACAAACAGCAAAGTCCCAGTCTTGTAATCTGTGTGGGGGCGAAGCTCTGACAGCGGTCCTTCCTTGTTCTTCCTTGGGAGAACTACCTTGTGGGTACATCCTAGGAAGCAGTTAAGGTTGTCTTTTTTTTTCTTCCAGTATTAAAGACTGAATCTAGGGCCTTTCCCCTGAATTACATACCCATTCCCCTCCTTTTTATTTTCAGGCAGGATCTCCCTAAATTGCTAAATTGTCCAGGCTGGGCTTGAACTTGCAATCTTCCTGCCTCACCTTCCTAGAAGTTCTTGGACTCCAGGCAATGGCCACCATGCCTGGCTAGGTTGTCTTTGAAAATGCATTGTTTAATGCTCTGTTTGATAGCAATTGGGAGACTGCAGGGGTAAGAGGCTCTTATCTTTGTCAGTGACTGAGAAGGCCTCCAGTTGTCTAGTCTCCTCAGGTGCCACCTGCTTCCTTTTCCTATCAATAGTAAGCCACTGTTGCTTTGGGTCTCACCAAACTTCAGGGCAGTTTACCAACTATGTGTAGTGATTTTTGGGGGGAGAAGGATCTGGGGCTTTTGCACTGTTTTGACTGGTGGTGCAGGCTTGAGAAATCTGTACGTGGCTAGACCTGGAGGGACTGATGGAAACTTGCTTTTGAGGAGTTCACATCTCTTCCTGATGTTTCTTCTGGTTTTGCAGCCCTCGCTCTTCCTAGGTTGAGCTAAGATCCTGTGTGTAGCCAAGTGGCCTACAGCAGCTCACAGGAGGGCAGGTCTTTCTGGGTGTAATGCTGACCCTCTCTCAAGCCCAGCCTGGCATCAGATCTCAGGCTGCATTCCCTTTATGAAGATGTGCTATATAGTTGGAGGCCACCTTTGGTATGATATGTCCAAGTCACGTCTTTCTTTCCCCTGTCAAGTTATGGGGCTGAACCCTCTTGGGGGTACTGGACAACCTTCCTTCCTCAGCCAGTCATGGTATTCCAACCCCAGAAAGTGATTGCCGTCTGTAGAATAAAAACACTCTTAACAGGGTTCCCACCAAAGTGATTGTTACAGGCTGCATGTGGTTAGAGGGCTGTTACCCCAGCACTCAGTGGCTGAGGCTGGAGGATCGCTGTTTTATGTCAGCCTGGGCTACACAGTTAGTTCAAGCCCACTCTGAACTACATAGTGAGACCCTGTCTCAAAAAACCAGAAAACCAACCAAACAATCAAAAACCCCCAAGTGATTGTTAGAGCAGGCCTTGGGCTCAGCAAACTGTACTGGCTTTTTCCTGAGTACAGGGTTTAGCCTGCTCTAAGGGCTCATTAAAACTACATCGCTGAGAAGCTTGATTTTTATCCTCATTTTACTAAGGCCCAGAAGTCCTATTAGTTAGTAGGGGGCCCTAGGGTGTGGGACCAGGCCCTGTGCCTGCATTATAATTCCTGACCTTGAAGCCCAGCTCAAGGTTAGGATAACCATCTTCATGGGACTGATGGTCTGCCTTGGAGGCAGGTCATGGGCAAAAGATGCTGTAATAGAAGTCAAGACAAGCTGCTTCAGGGCAGAGAGCGGGGAATGCCCAGTGCGGGCCAGGACCTGTGCTGGGGCCTTAATCCATGGGCAACGGGCCAGATGTCATTGAGGTAGCACAGAAGGTTGCACCTTGGGACTACTGAGGGGCAAAGCTGGGGAAGCCGCTGGAAGGAAGCTCTTTATATTCTAGAGGCAGTAAGAGGAGATGCGAGATCCAGAGCCTCCACTTTCAAAAGTGGCATGACCTTGGACCGGCCTCACCCTAGCGCCTCAGTTTCCTTACTAGTGAAGCCGGGTCCCGAACCCACCCCCTCTGTCACTAACAAAGCAAAGAGCACACAGCTGACGTCTTTTAAGTAAGTGCATGAGTACAAGAAGACGCTATCTGCTAGACAGGCGGGGGCTGCGCATGCAAGGACGCCAAGCCAAACGCGCTCTGCCCCGGGGTAACCAGCGAAAGCTTTGCTGCCAGCTATTCTGAGAACTACCCGCATGCGCCAACAAATGTCGTCACAATCACGTGCTCCAAGCGTTCCGCACCTGGCGTGAAAGGCAGGTTTGCTTGACGAGCCAGCAGACCAGTCAGTGGGAAGTGTTCCTCCGGGCGTCGGGCGAAGAGGCTGTTGATTGGCGATAGTTTCAGTTAGGGGAGGGTTCTTTGCCGTCCTGGTTACTATGACGCCCGGCCTCCGCCCCCTCGGCCGGCCGCCATCTTGTTGTTGATCGGTACCCAGTGGGCAGCGCTGGGAGCTGGGCCCAGCGGCCTGTGCAGGGCCGCTGCAGCAGGGCTCAGCACCTGCGCCGCCTGCCAGGGAGCGGGCCGAAACCTGAAGGCCCGGGGGGCTCAGCTCCTGTGGGGAGCCTTGGACATCCGCAGTTCGGGTCGGCGGGTGAGTGACAGGAGCCGAACCGGGCCCAAAGACCGCCTAACGCCCGAGGGGATAAGGGTGGCAGGCGCTGGATTAAGAGGGCGCGAGCGGGGCTGGGGCTTAGGCCGAGCACCGTTGGAACATCCTGACTGGCTGCCCGCCGAGGCTTCCAGGTGCTGGCGCCGAGGCTGGGGGAGGACCGCCGGGGTGGAGGTCGGGGAGCCCGGCAACCTTGGGTCAGCGGCGGATAGCGGGAAACGAGCTTCTGTGACCCGATCCGCGGGCTCCGCCGGCTCTGGGGTGCTGAAACGTGCTTCGTGTTAGCCTGATGATCTCCGGGCACAGTTGTTCTGAGAGATGCGCATATTTTCAGGCCCCTCGAGACTAACGCTGTACAAGGTAGGCCAAAGCCCCGGTAAAAGGAACAGGCCGGTGTCACGGCCCTGAGAGTCTGGCAGGGCAGAGCTCTTCCTCCTTCAGGCTCCTTCCTCCTCAGACCCTCTGAGAGCTTCGCGTGCTCCTTGAAGCCCAATGTTTACTTCCCCTAGAAGGGTCCAGTTAAATGTGCGTAATGCCTGAATTTTATTTTAGAGTATAATTTAGTGCTCAATCACCACTGTGGAGTGTGTGGCTGAGGAGAAAGTGAATGCTACGGTGATGACTCAATTAATTTTGTCTGCTGAAGAGACACTCTGATCAGGAGACAGGAAGTGTAGGAGTGTGTTACAGCTGGAAAAATAAATGAAACTTGTTTTTGTTGTTGTGGAACTGCCATTTTTTTTTTTTTTTTTTACTTTTGAGACAGGATCTGACTATATAGACCAGGCCAGCCCTAAACTTATGTATCTCAGGCTCAGCCCCCACTCCCAAGTGCTGGAATTACAGTCCATGTCACCAAGCCTGGCTTTTAAATTAACTTTTAACAATACTATTTGTATTTCTTCAGTGAAACCATCTATCAGATCCCTTTCCTTATGGGAGGGGAGGAAAGGAGGTAAATGCCAGGCAGAGTGTGCAGGTCAAGAAAGAGTTCTGATTGTTCCGGAACACATCGTTCTTTATCTATGGCCCCTTAGCTTCTTCAAAGAGATGTTTTTCTCTTTTTTTTCTCTCCTTTTTTGGTACTGATAATTGAACCAGGGCTTTCTCACTGAACTGCACAGCCAGCCTTTATTTCTGAAACAATTTTGCTAAGTTGCTAAATTACCCAGGTTGAGCTTGAACTTGCAATCCTTCTGCCTTGGCCTCCCAAAGTATTGGGATTACAAGTGTGTACTACCACACCCAGATCCAAACAGGTGTCAAAGCTTGCATAAGTTAACTAAGAAATCAACCTGAAGGGCCAGAGATTTGCCTCTGGTTCCACCGACTACCTTGCAAGCACAAGGCCCCAGGTTCGATCCCTGGTACCAAAGACAAAAAAACAAACCAACCAGCAGTACTTCAGGATCATGTCACCTCTGAATGTTTAATTTTTTTTTTTTTTTTAAATACCGGGGATCTAAAT